GGTAGCATACCATGATTTCAAGTATACGCAGCTACGGCCAAACCTTAGGCCAAGAATAGCAGAATACAGCATCAACAATCCTTCAGTTTTACAAGATTAAAGCAAAAGCGTATCTCCATTGTCAATCACCATAAAGTAGCTTTCGCACTCAGTCTGCAGTATTTCCTAGTAATTTGCAAGGTTAAGACACCATCCCAGTTTATTCACACCCAAAATGTCTTAAACGTCAGAAACAGTAACAAAAACGCCTGCTGGTTTTGTATTTGTTTTTACTTTGTAACTTAATTGTTGTTACTTTGACATATTAGCTAATAGAAATAAAGTTTGATATGAAAGTCTTTCAAGAATCAGTATTTTTGTTTTAAAACTACTGCAATTTTGTTTCTAAATAGCTACAAGTGAGGAAGGCAAGACATAACCACATTCTGTCAGAACAAATTTTTAGCAAAGTGAAATCAAAGGTGCAAAATTCTGGTGAAACACCCCAAGGAAAGCTAAAACATCCTTTTATCCTTTCAGACAGTGTTGCTACTTTCCCTTTGTAGTTTTTCAGACATAATCTCTAATTAGAAAATTCATTTAAAGATTGTATATTATAAAATCTGTGAATAAACGCAAATATCAATGCTTTAAAAGTCAAAAGCTGAAATAAAATGTTTTAACCAACTCCTTAAAATGCTTCCAATTTTTTTCTTTTTGGCTAAAACTTTCAATTTTTTTAGAATGACAGCACATTTTAAATTATCTACAAATCCTTTCTGAAACAACTCTGCTTCTGTTTATTCCTCAAATCCATGCCAAAACCTCTGTTTAAAAGATTTGACCCAACAACTACAATCCCCAGATCTACCTTCCTTGAAAGCTACTTACCTGCAGGTAACGTTTCTTCTCCTTGGCCACAGAGACAAAGGGAAGGATGAGAAGAGCTTTCTTACGAGTCTCCAGGACTCGTTTCAATATAAGCAATTCTGCAACAAGAGTCTTTCCAGCACTGGTAGGAGCTGGGGGCGGAAAAAAAAAAGTTGCAGTTTTTCAAATTAATTTTTAAAGTTCAAAAAGTATCCAGGGAGCAAGCATCATAAAGCTAGCATAGAAAGCAGTTACTGAAGAACTTGAGGCAGGACTCTTCAACTGATGCCCCTCTCCTACGGTCAAAACCCCATCTAGAGTTAATCCCATAAAGGGTCAAGAAGACTGGAAAGTATTTCTCTTCTTACCTCTTCCCTCATGGTACCAAGGGTTGTGTTCTCATCTCTGCACCAGGTGCAAGAGCAGCTCAGAGATAAGCAAGGGGAAAAAAAAACACTAGTCTCTTCATTGGACACAAGAGCTCAGCCACCAACTTATTGACTTAGTCCATAAATATATTAATGCCTCCTGCTTGACAAGCATTGCTGTTTGCCATCTATCATCCACCGAAAACTGTGGAGGAGATGACATACAGCAGGGGACAGCCATCAGCCAGCAATAGGGCCCAAAGTCTTCTGGAACCAAGTAAATAAAACTTAAATCCAAGCTTAAGAAAATCACCTGCCCCTCTTCTACGTTCTTCATCCTCCCAGTGCTGCTCTGGGAGCTTCTTCCCATGGAGAGCAGACACCCAAGTTGTCATTTCCCACAGATTTCTAGTCCACCAGTCCCATTTCTCATTCTGTGCCCCCCTCCCTACACTAGGTGAGGAGAAATGATAAAGGGATTGAAAAATATTAGATAGTAAATAACATTTTCAAAAGTATTTATATCTAGCATTGCTGTTATTATTCAGTTCCTTGTTGACATTGTAATTAAAAAAGAGTCATCATTAACTGACCCCTAATTATCAGTTTCTAAAGGAACATTAACAGAGAAAATGGGGGGAAAAGTCTCTCCTCACACCTGGTCCATCAAGCCAGGCCTGAGGTGCAGCAGTGGGACAGATCTTAATGGGCTCTCTCCAGAAGGAAAGAGGATATTGACCTTTTCATCTGCCAGATCAGAACCCTTCAGTGCCAATATGTTCCTGTAAATAGCACTGGGAAAGTTAGGGGGGGCTGGTTTTGTCAGATGTTTGCTTACCTGAGTAAACTAGGTTCTTCCCTTCCAGAACTTGTCCAAGCATTAGGCATTCTGCTTGCCATTCAAACATCTGTACTACGCCCAGACTGTGGTATTTCTCCAGAACTGCTTTGGGAAGACCCCAGTTTGCAAGGAGCAATTTGTCTGCTTGGTCTTCAGGAACATTTACCTGCCCTTTGGGAGGAAAAAATAAAAGAAATAAAGAACAGCCAAGTATCATCCTTGAACCTGAAGTCACCTAGGTTATCTACCTAAAGGTCAAACTTCCCTACAAGCTCCTGCATTATGAGAAAAGGTAACAAGAAACCATCTTCCCTACATTTTTCAATATTTCCTATGGATGTTTCACCATTCTTCTTGTCTCCTGACATAATTTTTTTCAATTTTTTTCTCCTATAATGCTTTCCGCATTCAAATAATTTCTTCACCAAAGTCTTGCTCTGATATTTGCTTTTGAGACAGAACAGTCATAACCAAATACATACTCAAACAGAGTGTTTCAGCACTGATTAATATAACAGCATTACTATGTATTTGCCATCTCATCCTTATCCATACTGTTTCCTTTTTAAATTACTGCTACAGAGACTTCAGCAATCCTCACAGATGACAGAACTACCCAGCCTTTTTTCTTGCTTTATGGATTAATTAAAAAAACAACATAAACCGCACAAGCAGCTCAAGCGACTCTGTACAGTGTGTGTTACTTCAGTTGATCAACGCTGATTAGTATCTTCACCACACTGCCAGTTTCTCTAGCTTAATTAAGTTCGTTGCTGCTTCTTTCTTGTCTTTATAACCCTAAACAATTTTGTGCTGGCTACAGATATTGCCTCCTCTTTCCCCTCCTCCTCACTTTTTCCAGATCATTAAGAAAACTCAACCTTTCTTCATCTGAAACAGAAAACAGGTTTCTGATCCACAGTAACGCCTCTCCTACCACCTATGACTACATAGTTCCCATAACGGCATTTCGTGAAAGACTTCGTCAAATCAAGATGAAAAACAAGCGGCTGTGTGCACCGACTCTACTGTACCCAGTCTTTTACTGGCACATTCAAAAAATTCGAGAAGATAGTTCCCACCAGTGTTGACAGCGTAAGGGCAGGCTGGATCAGAAATATTAGCGTGCATACGCAGCCAGCGTTGTTACGCTGAACATCCTAAAAATCTCAGCTGCCTTCTTGAGGTTAACCCAGCCTAGCTGTTGCTGGTGCATGATCATCCTCCTCCACACAATTAAAAAGCTGATATAGCCTAGCTCCAAAAGCTCTGTGTCGCTGTGTATAATCAAAGTACCATACAAATACTAAACAAGAAGCTGAGCACCAGCAGGAGAGAATAGCAGTACGCCAACAAAGCAGATCAGGCTTCCCAAGGGGAATTTAGAGGAGACCAGATTTGTCTATCCTCAAATGTGACTAATGTGGCAGAACTAGGATTCAAAAACATAAAATGATGGGATCTCAAACTTCTTTCCTAATGTTAAAACCAATTAACTACATGTAAAAGATGGAATGAGGAAAGGATTAAGCGATTCTGCTGCTTTAAGGATATCTGTAGATTAGCACTGAACATGAGTTTGAACATTTGGGCCTTAGGGGTTCTTAAAGATCTACGTACAGAAGTATACCACTGACAGTGTCCTCTTTTTTACCTACTAGAAAATGCTGAGAAATAGTCAAAATGAGTAAGATGCACATCATTAGTTAAAAGCATTAAGTGTTAGATTTCTCTGAAAGAAAACCCTTCCAGAACATGTCCCTTCCAGCTGGACACAGGAGCACCGCTTACTGCATCGCCTTTGCAGAGCTGTCCTGTGGAAATGTACATTGCCTTGCTCAGCTCCATTTGCAGAAGCTGACAAAATCGTATCTTGCAGAACATAATCACACCAGGGGGGAGATGAGACATGACTGGGGAAGAGGCTGAGAGATGTAAATGTTTAAAGAGTTACAGAAAAATTGCAGAAGAGATAAAGTTAAAGATGTTATAAAAAACCATTTCTTTTAGTTGTTCTATACATCTTGATGCTGTATACACCTAGATTTCTCTCTTGATTCAAGAGCACAAGAAGCTGGTAAAATGTATTGCATCTAGAAACATCACTTTAAGTGGTCCTGGCTGGCACTTTACATGACATCTTGCCACAAGAAGTTTATGTAACATCATGTATATATAGACAGGATGTCATATTAAAAAAACAAACTACTACACTTCTCTGCATTTGAAGGTATCAGGGCTCCAACTAGGAGCACTTAAAGTGATGCCTCTAGATTCAATACATTTTATCAGCTTACTGTGTTCTTGAATCAATTTAATAACACAGGTAAACCTCGCCTGTATCCCAAAGCACACCGACTACACTGATTGTTGTATTATGGTAACACCTAGAGGCCAATTCTGTTAAACGACACTCGATGAAACTAGCGCGACTTCAGGAGTGAGCCCAGGACATCCATTTCCTTACCTTCCCCAACTACGCGGCGAACAGGGCTGGGAGATCCTGCATCCTGGGCCGGGAGAGGCTCTGAGGGTCCCCGACTCCTTCCCCCACCGCTGCTGGCCCACTGCCGGTGGGAGGCGCCTCAGCGCCATGTTGCCTCACAGAGGAACCGGCCCGCAAGCCAAGGGACCAGCCCCACTCCCCCTCGCCCAGCACGCCCCGACCACCGCCCCCGCTGTGCTGTAGAACCA